TTACCTTTTGGCGTGCACAAGTATTCTCATTGCGAAATTCAAAGACAGCGTGAAAGCATTAACGGCGAATACATTTACAAAGTGATTGTTTGCAATTTGCGTTTGTCCTTTCTCTGCATGGAGGTTGCAATTTGTGAGGTCCACATGAAGTCCGTCTCATCGTCCTCTCAACTTGACCTATCTTCGTTGCATTCTCTCATCGCGCCTTATTTTTGATGTATTTTTTGATGTTCAATTTTTCATCACTTTTGCTTCAAACTGATGTTCGAGGCTTTTTTTCTAACTATATGGCTTGGGATGTCGCGAATTGCGCGACTTCTCATAGGAATCCGCTGCCCGTTGTGGGTCCCAGAACGTCAATCCACATGCTGCCCCGCCCTCAATGCCGCATACAAATACCTCTTCGTTCAAAAGTCAGTTTTAGAACACCTGTCCACTAGCGAGCAATCGGCTTTCGAGCTCAACTTCCGCCAACGATCGTACGAGCAGTGCAACCCTCAATTCACGCGATTCTAACTTCATCACGCATCGCAGAACTGAGACGCCGTATCAAAGTAACTCGGGTGACGCTCGCGCCTGCCCCATGGTGGTGGAGCAGCCTTCCTTTTTGCCCATGATTAACATCGTTGGCCTCCGTGTTCTCATCCTATTGTATTGAGTTGTTTGTGTTGGCTTAAAATTGTGGGTAGATGGTGGGACTTTGGATTAAAGTGTATTGACAGCAGTGTTGTGCCGCAAGCTTTGGTCTGGCTCCAATCAAAATCTACAAGCTAAGGTTCAAGTGAACCCATTGTCCGAAAAAGGTTCCACCAAATGGATAGCAGGCACGATACTAATTAGGTGTGAAATTAGGGAATAGGTAGCCTAGGGCCTCTAACTTGTCCGTGTTTTTTGGTAGGCTAAACATGGCGCAAGGGGCTAGTTGCGAACATATGTCGTTATCTCACTTCTCGGATGAGATCCTCAATTCCTGCCGCCAAAGCGAGGGACTTCTTTACGGTCTGAAATTGAGGATTCCAACATGCGATATGGAAGCGAGAGCGCTTTATATCGCTAAGAAGTATATATATCCAATATCTTACCGCTTAATTATCGTAGTGACCTGAGTTCAAAGATTGTACTATCAGCTTAAGGCTTTGACCATACACTATCAGTGTTACCGTGTTACCAGTGTTACCCGCATTGCTGTTGCTGTGCTAGGTTACTAGTGTTACTCGTGTGATGACTCACCAATCAATATGATTGCATCCTGAATGAGACTGATTTGCTATCGTTTCACGACTTAACAGCAATAAAGGCGGCAACACTAGTGACACCAGTAGCACTAGTACACGAGCATGGGTAACACGAGTAACAGGAATAACATAGCAACACGGCTAACACTGGTAACACTGGTAACGCGTGTAACAAGGGTACCACGGGTATCAGTGGTTATAGATGAAACGACCGAAAAATTTCGTCGAACGAATGAATATCGAATAATCGGCTTTTGAAAGATATTTGAAGGAACGAATATTATTCGATCTGTGATCTTCAAATTATTCAAATTCGAATATTCGAATAATGCTACATTTTAAAACTCGAATGAACGAATTTTCCAATAAATGGGGTTGATCGAATATTCAACTATTCGAATAACCGAATAATTAACCTTGAGTCATTTGTAACTTAATATGTGAGATTGCACACTAAGCCCTATTATCGACGGCACTCATACTAGTAACTTCACAGTAAAACATCTTCTAGTCTAATAAAATGTGGAAATGTGTTCTACTGACTAGCATATAGCCAACTAAAACAAAAGAAACAAGGAAACAAGTAGAAATCACTGGAGATGAGCAGGTTCTAGTTTGGCAGTTCGTGAGTTAGCGTGTATAGTGTGCACTAGGCATACTAAGTTGCAAATGACTCGACGATACATATGGTCAAATATTCGACTGTTCGAATATTCGAATGATCATACTTGTCCAAATATTCGACCATTCGAATAGTTCGAATAATCTAGCGGCTCAAACAATGCTGGTTTTTTCTTTGTTGCAGTTTTCTGCAAAAAAATTAATCGCTATACTTGATCTAGATTTATAGCTGATAATTATAAGTGGGTAAAGTGGGTCAGGTTTAACTGGGTTATTGTCGCTCTCAGGGTTCCGCCTAGAACAGAAGAATTTTCACTCAAACATATAGTTCAAGGTGTTCATTTTCTTTTAAGATGGCTACCAAGCCTTATAATAGTAACCGACAAGTCCGCACTTATTCTTCTTCACACAAGTTTCTCCCGAAGCTACAAACTTCCTCCCAAAGCTACACATTCAACATTGAAAACTTTTAAGAATAGTACTTGTTGTAATTATTTGTGAGGGTCAGCAGTACGTGAGTTCTAAGACTAGCACTGGGAGAGCACGAGGAAGGCCTACAGCAGTAGAACCAGTCCCTGCAGCAAGCTGACGCACTGTTGTCTACATAATACTGTACAATACATAACACCGTTGTCTTTTGTGCGCATTCAAATCCAGAGAAAGTTTTGGAAATATCTGTATATCAGCTGCTAGTCTAGTACTTGTCGGAAATTATCAACCGCTGAGTTTCAAAGTTTCTGTTCTAGGATTAAATTCTCACAAAGTTGTTTTGTTTGTATTTTGAGGTCTGCACTTTTGTTGTAAGGGATCTTACACATCTTTTACTCAGGTTAGGTTTAAAATAATTATTGTTCAACCTACACGTCTACTCAAAGTATTATTCTTCTATGAGCTTTGCAACATTCTAAATCTAGTTTTTTTACGCCTGACTATAGAAGCTGCCGAATTGAGTATGTTGACTGACATACAGGCTGCCGCTACAAATCAAGCGGCTCAGATCCTCACGACCGCTTTGCTCTGGCCTTGCGCTGGTTAAAGGCACCGTCCACCCAAATTGGGGTTGGCGAGATTATGATACCTAGCAGATGCGGGGCACCCAACTGTATGATTGCCCAACTCGCGCTGCCTGAAGTTGCTTCCGAACCGAGAAAATTGCTTCGGAAATCGCTTCAGGCCGCGTTTGCGACGCTGGCTCCTCCCCTTTCGGAGTGGGCGTGACGTTCGTCCCGCCCATCCGTGCGCGGCCGACCAATCACCGCACCGAAGAAATAGCTCTGCGGGTTCTGAAAACCGGGTTTTTCGTGATTTTCTCGGATATTCAACTTAATATTCGGAATCAGGGGTATGAGAAGGCCCCGGAACGGCAAAGACACTGAGGTCGAAATTTTGGGTGGACGGTGCCTTTAAAGTATCTTTCACGTATTTTGACATGCGGGCAGTGATTAGACTGGCAAGTTACGTGGAGATCTCGTGTTGCCAATACGTGCTGCTTTAAAGGACTGCGTCCTTCAATGCTTATGCAAGCTGTCTGAGGAACATGGTCCGCTAAAGGGCGCCTAGATGGCTTTGTTTCTTCAACCAATTTAGAGCATGGAGGTAATCGCGCGCGATATCGCATCTCAACCTCTCAGATGCGATTCCCAGAAGATAGTTCATACTCCAAATGAATTACGTGTAAGACTTGTCATCAAGTATGCTCTTGCATGACTCGCGATTGCCTTAAAAGGGAACCTTGATAGCCATTCTGTCATAAGATCAATTTTTTTGTATGATTGACCGATCGCGGAGATACTTGTGCACTTTGTAGAGCAAATTTTCTTTTGACATCGAATGTTCGAATGAATGGTTTTTAATATTCAAATATTCGAATAACTGTCTTTTAAGTTGGCTAGAATATTCGATTATTCGAATAACTGTCTTTCAGAACTTCTCGAATAAACGAATATTCGAATAACTCATTTTTCCAAATCGTCGAATGAATGAATTATTCGAATACAGGTCTTTTTCATTCATTCGACTACTCGAATTATCGAATAATTGGACTTTCTCGGATATTCGACTATTCGAAATATTCGAATAGTCGAATATTTCGAATAAATTATTCGAACACGACTATTTTCTTCTAACTATAGTGGTATTGGTGGTAACTATAGTGTATGTATGGTCAAAGCCTAAGACCTACACTCCTTGAGAACCGATTTGTGTAGCATGCAAGCTCAAATGATCTGAAAGAATAATGAGCATTACCACGGGTATAGGGCGCGACTCGCACGACTTTTTTTCGCACAAGACCAGCGCCGCGCGCGAAAGGCCCTGCGGCGGCCTTTGCCTAGGGACCCGTCATACTCCACCGAAAAAAAGCCCAAAAGCGCCCGGAAGCGCCCGAAAAAGCCCAGAAAAGCCTGAAAAAACCCAAAAAGCCGAGAAAAGCGAAAAGCCTAAGAAAGCCCGAAAAACCCAGAAACGCCAGAAAGAGCCGGAACGCCCCTTTGGTCTTGACGCTAACATGGTGATTTCGCAACCGAGTCTTTTTGCTTCATTTTCTGTCGTCTGCACATCAAGATAATGTAAGCATTCCACCATAATTTCGTTCTGCGTTCCAGCTTTTTTGGCTTTTTCGGGCTTTCTTGGGCTTTTTTGAGCGCTTTTGGGCTTTTTTCGGCAAAGTATGACGGGTCCCTTAAGCAAAGCAGGGGAGGAAAAATTTGCGGCTGCGTGACGTGTTAAGACCAGTAAAAATGGGGGTAGCGCTGAGACCCCCTGCGAAAAGACCGTCTCTTGACTCATAATCACGGATAAGGGCTGTTTGCATGGTTTATTTGTGTTAATTTTGTAATCCGTACAATGAGTTTCAGCCAAGGGAGGTGACTGTGAAAAGTTCAGCCTTTACAATTTGTTTCTTCGAAACGCGCTTAACCTGAGTGTGGCTTAACAACATACCCTAGGTTTCGGCGAGAACTTGTTTAATGCGATGGGATGTTCGTTTTCAGAGCGGACAAAACCACTGGTGTTTATGCGCATCTCGCTTTCGAAAGTCATTCGGTAATTGTTGTACTTTTGAGGCCTCTTGAGTACTCTTTGCTAAAGTCCAGTCGAGAAAACAGCGAAACAAGCATTTTTGTAAAAAACTCAATTGATAACTACCTCGGGATACCCTTCGAGCATTTCCGGGAACTGCTCGCCGAAAACCGCAACGTGTTCGGCTAAATAAAGATCTGCCCATGTGAGTGAATCGCCGACAAGGAAACCTAAATGATGTTAATAGAGACCTTGCCGATTTGTCATTGAGCAATGGACGCCAGATTGCAACGTGATGCTACATTGTTTTCATATTCTGTAAGTGAATGCTTTTTGTATTACACGGGTTCAAGTGAAACACATTCCAGTTGTTTGTCTCATCATTTTTGTAGCGATATACTCAGCGAGCAAAGTACCACCCCCCCCCCCCCCCAAAAAAAAAATGATTATGCTTGAGTCAAATGTGCTTATCTCAGTCCTTAATTTAATCACGGACATCGTTGACAGTATTTTATCTTCTAAGAGTTTGCTTTGACAAGTGTTGGTTTCTGTCACCTGACGGATTTCCCTTCAAGAACTTGCTGATAAACAAGAATAGTTTTCCTCTAGCAGGCAGAAAGACATCCTTCTTCAGTGCTTCCTGACCAAATGAAGGATCAAGCATGCTCCAGTTGTGGTCACTTACCAAATCTCCTTCTTCAAAGCCCCAAACCACTTTTAAAAACGGTTTAATTTCCACCATATAATCTTTCATCTGATCTGCAATTGAGTCCACCACTGCTTCCTCAAATGGCGTTTTTCCTGCATAACCTAGAAATAGAACGGGCATTTTTTCGTTTCAGTATGTATATGCGTTCTATGACCGAATTGTCTGGCTAAATAGCGACAGATAGCGTAAGACTGTGCAAGCTGTTGTCCACTAACTTCCAACACAGGTAGCTGTTCAAATGGCATTTCTTAACGACAAAACAAATCGTAGTCACCGCAATCTTAGGTCCTACCTGGTTTGAGTTTTTGCCAATCAGCCTTGTTGATTCGCTCATCCTCGTATGGCTGTGCAGCCACCACGAATAGCTAAATCAAGATCTGTGACATGAGAAAGAAAAGTTCTTTGTGTTTTTTCAAAATCCAGCTCTGGCCAAGCTGGATTGGTCAAAACTTGGATCAATCTTATATCGCAGCTTTCTTGGAACATATATTGTGTCGTAGTTAACAACTGGTTAAGTTGTTTTTACGGCCTTCAAAAGCAAGCACATAGCATTGAGACGACCAATCGAAATTAGAAATAACCACCTTTTTTAGGGTTTTGCGAAGTTGCTCAACCTCATTTCCTTTCGTAACATTTTCATTCATTTTTTGGCTTGAATTCTAGAGGAAATAGATAATTCAAGAATACGCGGAAAACGTATTTCATTTCGAAAATCTGTAATTTCTCTATCTGGACGGATTCGCGCTTTTGTAAGTTTGTTGATAATTAAGTTTTCGTCCTTGCGATAGTGTTTTGGAAACTTGCGAAACCTAGTTGCGGAGACAAAAATGTAAGAAATGACCACTCAAGCTTTAATAATTCCTTTGTATCTTGCCAAAAATACGAAGTGTTGCGAAAAAATTCAGAATTTGAATGATCCTGTGGTGGATTTATCAATCAGACAATTCTGTTTATCGTAATGGAAATCATGATTTTAAAGAAAAAAACACCAGAAAATGATTTTGCTGTTTTGTTTCCTAAAACTATAAATCTGCAGAGACGTTTAATCAGCACCAACTTCACGACGAGCTGTTTTTTTTTCACATCTGTCCGGATGAACCGTTTCCGGGCATTTTCAGAGCTGGCAGCATGTATGTATGCATGCATCTATGCGTAAGATACAAAAATGCAAATAGGCGGGGCAGCTATGCCCACTTTTGGCAAGCCCCCGTCCACTTTTCAAAAATGTCGGAATTTGCACACAAAATTCAGGAATTCGTGCAAATTCCTGCACTTTGGAAAAGAGGCGGGGCTTGCCACTGAGGCGGTGGAGCCCGCATAAGGCCTAAGGCATACCTCACGCGATTTTAGTCGATGCGCGATCTCACACTGCAACGATTCTACATAACTGGTCGTAAACGTACTTTGCTTGGGCCAGACTTTATATTTGCTACGACTACGGAATCCGTGCGCCCATGCATGTGAGACCCACGCATGGTTAATCTATAGACATCTGGCAGGTTGCCAAATCGCGTGGATGTGGCGATTTCGCGAAATCGCGGGAGGTATGCCTTAGGCCTAACGGGGGGCGGGGTTAAGATTAAATATTGTGAGATCCCCCAGTCATCTACGAGCGTTTCTAAGCGATTTGAGAACGAAGAAAGTTTGCAGAGGGCAACAGAGTGTGGCGGAGTTTTCCAAAAAGGGGGCGGGCCAACATAAAATACAGGGTGTCCCAAAAAGATGTGCACACTGTTTGATCGTTAATAACTCTCCTGCGTTCATGTCTTTTGTCGAGCTTAAAGTACCATTCTGTAGAACGAGGTTCAACTTAAATGTGCGTTGTGGAGCAATCATCGATTGCTCTTCATTACAGTAAAATCCCTATGGGAACTTCGAGGATGATTGTAAGCTATCAAAATCGGTATTTTGCCGGTATTTTGCGTCAGAAAGAAACCCAAACAAGCAACTCTTGAAGTGAGCTCGAAGTCGCTAATTCCAAATATGAAATTTGCGCTTCAGTATAGTGCTTCTTTCATAAGTTATTTCAAAATTAGGCTGATAACTGTCTTTCCAATGCTCGTCCAAAATGTGAATACGCCATCAAGAAAGCTCGAAAAACTGATGAAAAGTCATGTAATGAAGTCAGCACGCCTGAAAACCTTGCTACAAATTTTCAGATTTTTTTGAAATTATTTCATTAAGAGGCCTATTCCGCAGTAATGCTGTATGCTGGAAGTTCATACCGTAATCCTACAGTAATGAAGAGTGACTGGTGGTTCTCTCCATACTGCTAATCTAAGTTGAACCTCGCTCTACAGAATGGTACATCAAGCTCGGTAAAAGACATGAAAGCAAGAGAGTTATTAACGATCAAACAGTGTGCACATCTTTTTGGGACACTCTGTATGTGGTTCTGAGCCGAAATTGATTATGTAAACACAATTCGGAACCGTTGTGCACATTAGAACTGATATTTAGAGAGTCGCGCACCATTGCAAGACATCGTCCACGGGACAGACTGCCTGTCGCACACCATTGCGCGACACTGTCGTCAACTGTTGAATGCGAATTTTCAGAGAAGCAGCAAAAAAGCTATTGCCTTGCCTCATTGAAATAATCGCCAAAATCTTGAATCTATGTTTTCATCAAGCCCAATTTTGGAGAATTCTTAATATTTTCGTTTTCAAGTTATGGAGAAGCCTTGATAATATTCAGTGAGAGTAAACGAAGTGCAACACAGATTTGTTTGCATCTTCAACTAACATTTTCAAATTTTTCATATTATGTTTTCTGATATTAACTATTCCATATATGGTAAGGCCAAAATTCACGAGCCATTGATGACCAACTCAGGTCTCATTTAATGTGGCTTTTTCTCTTTCTTCTAAAAGGCAATTTTTTTCCAATTTGTAAACCCTCCGCGCACGAAAATGTGAAGTTGTGCGCTTCAGACGCTGTATCCGATTTTTCAAACTGTGATATTACGAAAAGCGGTAAACGCCCATGTGTTCTGTAGCATTGCTAATTGGTAATGCATTTTCAAACTTGTAAATTTTAAAGATTTTGCAATGTTCGATTTTTTGTATGTGACACGACTTTGCAAAAGTGAAGTCTTTTGAAAAATGAATCCGTCAAACGCTCAAAGTCTAATTGAAAATGCCAAAAAATTCATCGTATGCGGTCTGTTTGTTTTGTACCTGCTATCAAAAATCCCATAAATTCACAATGCAAAAATGAGTAATTTCGAATTATGCATAGTCACCATAGGTGCAACTGATGGAAAATTTAAATACCACAAAAGGAGATTTAGAAACATTACCTTTGCGAAAAGAAAGAAAAGAGAATAGAAGGCGTTTGAAGCACCAGCTACATTCATCACGTGTCAAAAAAAAACGGAAAAAATATGAACGAATCAATAAATGAGATAGGATTGTCGCTGAAACCTCTCGAATAATTAGGTTTCTCATAATGCACTTTCTCTTAGAAAAATTTAGTACAGATCCCATCTGATTTTTTTGTTGAGTTAGCAGACTCCGTCACTCAAGATTTGCCAAAATTCTATAGTAGTCCTGAACAAATGAGTTTATGTTGCCGTATACATCATCGAATTTTAAGTCAATATCTACTTTAGAGGGCTATCTGTTGCTTCTTGCTGGTATATTGATCGGTATGAATTGATGCATTCACGGAGTATGCGAGTACGGATGTGATGATGCTACTTAAGATTAGCCTCCCTACCGCTCTCGTAACTGGAAAGTACGCAAAAAACATCCACTCGGAAAGCAAAAAAGTTATTTCGAGATATTACCTGCCGAGCGATTTCAGCGGTACCACGTCCATCAAAATAGATCAGCTTGTATTGAATCATTCTGAAGTACATATTCTATGGTAGGAGTTTAGCATCTATTCCATTTGGCTTCTCAAAAGTTTTCCATATTGACGAAAAAGCTACCTCGATAGAGCGATGCAAGCTCTACAAAATAATCTTTCAAGGAAATTCAAGTAACTTGGTTCGCGTTCGGAGATGAGACACATATATTAGGTTGTCCCGAAAGTTTTGTCCGTTTTTTCAAAAAGACCTGAATGAGTTTCAACATGCATTCGATGCAGCTTTTCTTCCTCTTTCTTACGGATACACACATGAACCATAATCATGTAGGCTTTTTTTGATAATTGCCAAAATTCTTCACCCGTCAATTTTATCTGCTCAAAGTTCGGCTAATTTTCAAAAATTTTATTTCAAAGTTTCGGGTAAAGTTAAGTATGGATCAAATAGAGCAATTCTCGGACAACAAGGTTTTTTTTTATATTCTCCTACGCTGCTATTTCTGGCTTTAGGAAATTTATTTTTGGTCTCGATTTTTGGCCAATTCATGAAGCACGCTGCAGCAAATACAAGAAAGCTTTTGACATTCCATTGGATTGAAACATGCTTTTTATTAAACATTATTTATGCAACATGACCAAGTTTGATTTGCTTTAAGAAAGCAGCTTTCTGGAAGTTTCGATAATTTTAGGTGGTAAATGTAATAAAAAAAGCCGCGTATTTTCTTAAATAAATATTTATTACGGACTTGATAAAAGCGCCCCATGTAATCCAAAATAGGCACAATGTGGCCAAAGGTTTGCTCTACATAGCAGTTACCAGCGATCCCTGGAAACGTCAGGACAAAATTTTTTCAAAATTTAGGAAAGATTTGGCGTTACTACTGAGCTGCTCAAAAAGCCATGTCGATAGCATCGCAAATACAGGGTAGATCAGAGAGCAAATATAGCTATAAGAAAGAGAATAAAAATCTGAATCGAATGGTACGTAAAACATTCATGGATTGGTGTTTTGTGAGTTTTATTGAGCGATGAAAAAACGGACAAAACTTTCGGGACAACCTAACATTTGGAATCAACTTCTAACGCTGATTCCAAATATACCGTTTTCAGCTGTGGCGCATTAGTCTAAAGCGAGTTATAAGCTTCTTTCTGCACAAAATCGGCATACTATTTTAAAAGGGGAAAGCTGCCTATAGATGGAAATCTGCCTTAAAGCGATGCTGGGAAATTGAAATAGTACCAGATTGAGTCTTTTGTCATTGACAGAAACTTAACCCTTTCGGACCTGACTTTTTGCCCAAAAAAACTTTTTTTCATTGATTCTTACCTCATAGGCACATAGATAACACTTCAGATAAGTATGGAAAGTTTTCGACCATACAGTAAGAAAACACAAAGTGTTGGCATTAGCCACCAACAGGCCTTAGTGGAACGACATTTATTACACCTCAATTATTTACAATGGAGAGTTTTGATGCAATTCTATGTTTTGTCAGGAAAAGATGAACGTTACATTTCTTACATTAAATTCGTGAAAGTCCTCCACATGATTCCAGTTCACATCGTTGTTCGTTACCATCCTCATGTATCGGCCAGTGTCTGACGTTTTCATATCTGTTGTCATTCAAAGGTCTCAAACTGAGTTTCGAGCGTTTTGCTGGAACGGTATTCATGATATTTGGAGATTTGGACAGCGGTCTTCCTTGTTTTGGTGCGTTTGCGTAACCAGAGAACGCTAGGCGTTCGGCAACTTCCACAGTGAATTGCAGCAAATCTTTTCCAATTTCGCCCTTCTTTTTCAACTCACGCTGATAGCCATGAGTTGCACACTGCCAAGTTGAAATAATGGAATATGACGCGTAATATCCATTTCTTCGAACGAACAAAGGTACGATACAGTGCAATCAAAAAATCATTATTTGCGACTCCTCCTATGGAACTGTTGTAATACCGTATGACCGTGGACGTGTGATCATTCTGTATTGACCGGCTTTCCTATCCCACCTTTTCACCTCATCTTGCGGACCTACGAAGTTTGACGCGACGTTTACCACCTTATTGTCGTACCAACGAACAGCGATAAGTTTGCCGTCTTCAGTGACGAGAGAGTCAAAACTGCCTCGGCCAAGTTTTTGCTCCTTTTCCGACTTCAGGGGGCACTTTTGCAATCTGCTATTTCGTATTACTCCTGCGTTGAAGATTCCTCGCTCCAACAGTTTGCGTAGTAAAAGCGGTGATGTGAAGTAGTTGTCACGAATAACTTGTGGCCACGGTGATTTGGAATTCGCTTCGATAGATGAATGACCAATCCATTTGTAGCATAATATCGTTCAACCAGATTTTCGGGAAGGGTATTCGAGCCTTGATATACAACCGAGCGGTAAATTATGCCAGAAGCACCGCAAAGCATAAATACTTTAACTTTCCACGGGTTCGGTTTGCCTTTCATATATTGTTTGATGATAAACTGCCCTTTGAAAGGTATGATTGAATCGTCTATGCAGAGGTTTTCTTCTAAAACAGTTGTTCGCAACGATTTTCAAATGACGAGATTATGGGACAAACTTTCCATAGTTTATCTCGCTGGTCGTGGTCGGCATTGACATCAACATATGAAGATTATTGCGCAAGGACAAGAAACGGGTGCGCGGAAGATTCAATTTTTCGAAAAACTGAATTCTTGTGGCTGGTGACCAATACATTCCTAGCCTAGGGTATTGAACGACTCCTATCAGGATATGTGCTCCGACAGTCTTCTTGATCTCTTGAGTTGATGCGTCGATACATTTAGCACTTGTATGTACTGAATACATGTTGGTCTTTTCCATCAATTCATCGAACGGTCGGGAAAGTATTTGAAAAAGTACGTAAGAAGCGTTGGGATATCATTTTCCCCTTAAGAACCAACGTCATCGAAAGTTAAGTCTGGAGTCTTCTCCCGCAAATTCCTAGCTAGTGCAGATAGTCGAATCTCGTCTAATTCAAGGCTCGCCATCGTCACTGTCTTCTTCGATCTCCTCATCTTCGTGCTCCACTTCATCGGTCTCCTCAAGCTCCGAACTCCTTGTTGACATCATCTTCAATGTCGGAGTCGTCAAGAGCTGGTGATGCAGCTGCAGCTTCCCCAAAGTGATTTTCCTTGATATGTCCGCTAGGTTTTTGTAGAAGCTTGTCGGCGGTCCGTCCTCTGAAAAAAAAAAAAAGTCCCACTAAAGCCTATTGGTGGCAAATGCGTACGACAATTCTGAAAGTTATGGCAAATAGTCAAAACATGTAGACACACAAACAACTATTACACATTTCTCTAAAAACCTCATACTAAACAGTTACAATAGTAGTATGAATAAAAACTCAATGTACTTCAAAAAACATCAACATGTCTGATTGAGGGGCCGAGCGCGACCCATCGTTCCTTCGTGCACGAATGCTTCTGGTACTGGGTGCCAAAACGAACAAAAATGCGAAAAAACTCGCATTTAAAAGGCAATAGGCCATCTAGAATTACTGTAATCGGGAGTGCCAGGAACATGCTGTAACGGCGTTCTGCAGTCCTTCAAAGTTGGTGGTGGCAATTGCCACCGCCAGGTCCCAAAGGGTTAAGCAGTAGATCAGCACTTAAATGATGATACCGTAATGCCAGTAGGTCAAAGACTAAGCATGTTTTACACGGAAAAGATCAATAACTCGCTTAAGAATGATGTGCTGCAGCTAAGAACAGCATATTTAGAATCAGAGTTCAAAGCTGGTCCCAAATATAGTGTATCATCTCAAAACGCGATTCTAAGTTATCTGACTTCCCTTGTTAGAGAAATCGCACAGGGTCTGATCCTGAGTACGAAGCCAACTTCAAAAGTTTTTGAATGGCTAGGGAAGGATACATGATGACCGTGCCTTTTTGCAATGAAACGTACGCCACTGAATGCTTCTTAAAGCACTGATTCCAAATCCGCCTTTGGTATCTGCTGTGCGCTCTTCCAAAAGAAGTTATGAACACTTTTTGCCACCAAAACTAGCACTGTTTTGATGACAGGATTCACCAGTATCCGTGAAATGGTCACTTACGCGCTACAAAAGAGCGTCCAAATAAAATAAAGCTTCACATCAAGCTCAGGAAGACAGTGTCCGACATCTTCATATCGAAGAAGCCTGGATACTGATGCTTCTGACTACCAGATCTCATAACATTTTAAAAAAAAGAAAAATCCATAATTTCTTTTAGAGTGTGGCTCAGCAGATAATGAACATATGATTGGAATCAGCGTTTCAAAGCGCATCTACTGGTATACATATCACTTTAAAAGGCCACGGTCACCAAGTATCCTTCCATTGTAAGCGACAAGCGTTAAGGGCCGGGCATACTTCACACGATTTCAGTCGCGAAGCGATTGGCGTTACTCTAATTATCCATAACTCACTATAAAGACATTTTTAAATATACAGAAGATAGGGCATTATTAAAACACGTAAGTTGTATACACTATGCATGTGCAGTTTGCTAGAGTTGGATCTGAAGACTTCTGGCGAATTGCCAAATCGCGTCGCGACTGAAATCGAGTGGAGTACGCCCGGCCCTTAAAGGGCTGCCCTTACTACCTTTACTCATACCCTTACTCCATACTCCATGCCCTTACACCGCTACAGTTCAAGATCGACACTAGCTAGGGTTTTTATCGTACCGGTTAGATCTTGATAAGCTCCTTTCTTTCAAAAGCATCAACACTAGAGGCGTTAGTGTCGAATATTGTTGTGCCGAACAGGTTGTTAGGTGGTCCTTCTATTGTCAATACTCTTCGGCCTTACGTTTCGACGCTTTCGTCTTCATCAGAGGCCTAGAATGGTTCAAAGCTTCATCCGTAACTCCAGCCCATCAAACGTCTCCACCAGCCCCTGCCAGTTCTCGGCTCTTCCCCAATCTAGTGCTACAAAAATTGTAATGACAAAAGACATACCAGGGAACCACCGCTTCGTTAGATGTCCGTACCGGATGTAGATGTTCGCGACGGACGACTGAGCTATACTGAGGGATGTCACATAAACAGTT